TTTGGTGCTGAGAAGGTGCGTCATTCCATCAACCCAGACGAGGCTGTTGCGTTGGGTGCGGTGGTACAGGCCTCGATCATTTTAGGCACGCCGGAATCTAAATGTCGTGATATTGTCGTGAAAGATAGAATTCCCGTCTCTCTCGGTATCAACGTTAGAGGAGAAAAAACAAGCCACATCATCAAGCGCAATTCCCTCATTCCAGCACAACGCACCAAACGATATTTCACAATTTATGATGACCAGACAGCAATTTTAGTTCGAGTAATTGAGGGAGAGAATGAAGACACTGATGATAATATCGAACTTGACCGATTTCTGATAAAAGGAATACCGAAAGCTCCAGCTGGAGTGGAGGGCATCGATGTCACATTTGTAGTTGATGCGAATTGCATTCTGGAGGTTACAGCATGCGTCGTCTCCACGGGTAAATCTAAAGGCATTATGATTAAGAGGAACCGAAAACAATTCACGGACGAGGAAATACGCCAACACCGCAACATGGAGGAAGACATGCAGCGTAGAAGCCAGCGGCACGCACGAAGGCAAAAGCTGGTCACAACCCTCCAGGAAAAGGCTTACGCTCTGCAGAAACAGCCAGCTCTCGAGGCAAAGTGTCAAGGTGTGCTTCGTTGGCTTGAAAGCAGTGAGAATGCAAGTGACGAGGAAATTGAAGCAAAAATTCGAGAATTTGAACAAATAGAAGAAGCGAGGAACCGAGCTCGGCATGAGCTTGAGGAACTCGCTGACAGTCTTCGCTCGAATGCAGCTGTGCGCGAGGAGTGCGACGAGATTCGACAGTGGATGCAGGAAACCGCCAGAACAGCCAGTGAGGCAGATTACAAGCACCAAATTGCTCGATTGAAGCAACTGTCACCAAAGCGCAAGTCGCGTGCGAGAGATCGACTGGAGACTAGGCTTCGGGAAACCCACGACAAGTTCCTTGATTCCGAGGAGATCCAGGAATTGTGCCAGGCGACACAGACCTGGTTGGATGAAAATGGTGACAATGCTAGTGACGACGACTTTTTGGATAAATTGGACGAACTGACTACCGCAGTGCAGGATATTATCCTTGAAAGTTAGACTGTAGATTGTGCGTGGTGGATGTTGTGAATGGATTTGCTGTTTTCGTCTTCCTTTTGTTACAAATGTCAATTTTATATGTTAATAATGATGCCATTTCAAGACAACTAGTCTTACCAAATGCCTGTTACAAAGTGTAGATGAGATGTGCATTGAGCAATGGATGCAATAGGTTACTTGTTTGTTGTGGTTTATAAGAATCGACTGCTGAGGTTATTGTTACGTTGACTGAAACCAAGCTGGGTAATCTTCATTTGATCTACCTCGATTACGCTACCCTAATTGCGATGCACAGCCGTTTGCCAGATAACCCAACCTAATTGTGCTATGCGTGCCTCTGTCGAGTAATGTATGAATACAATGAGGGGTTTATTTTATGAATTGATGACCAGGATATTGCAATTTCATGAAATGTGTTTTATTGACCAACTTTATCAAAATAGCGTTGTGGTGAGAAAAATGAAATTTGTTCTCTGCGCTCTGTCATTTTTGAGGTCCTTAATGAGTTAATTATTACCAGGCAATTCTAGGATATATTTGAGTTACATCAAAACGGGTTAATTTTTTCCCATTACTAAGGCACTATTCTAGACCAATCTTTTTAAATCAGTTAACATTGTTGTGTAAATAAACTCTCGCACTCACATAAGGCCTAGCAGCCAACAGCTCAGTGATTTGGAGAAACCTCTTAATCGTCTCAATCAATAGCCAAAGTCATCCATGTGCAAGGAATAAAATTGACAAACCAGAACAAATTTTGTAAAATACTACTGCAGCCATTAGTCCCGTTTAGGGAAATATAATTCGAAACGTTTAAGGAGATAAATCAAATCAATGTGTGGTTTCTGATCAGCTGAAGTACTATGCGAATTCAAGTCATGGATCATAGTGTGGAATCGTACTAGGGCGCAGTCATACTGGATTATGCGAAGCTGAACCAAACCTCTCTCTTTGGAAGTTTGAATAGCCTATGTTGAAGACCAGCGGCCAACCAGAGGTAGGGACGGAATAAAAGCATTTTGCAAAGAGTCGCGCAGCCAGTATAGTGGACTCGAGTGTACGACGCCTGGCAAAAAGTTCTGGCTTGTGATCAGTCAAGAAGGAATGCTTTGTTGCACATGTCTTCTTCATACAGTTAGTTCATAAGACTAGACTTCGTTCATCAGAAAATTCGTAGCCAAGTCGGGGTTAAAGAGCTCTCTGCCATTAGCCCAACGTGATAACTAATGCATGTTCCTTTTCTGATTCCTATGCCTAAAATTTCTCCTTTGTTTTTAGATTGTGCTACTCATATCACTTAAACCCTTCTATGAAAGTCTGCATTCACTGTGCCAATTTTATTCACGAAATCGCGAATGGTAGTAGTTCAACTCACACCTTGCCTCGCTTCACACACTTGTCTTAACTACAGCATTTTAATCGTCAGATCATTTGCAAAGTCATATGGTTTCCGCTTCACTGAATCCCTTAATCATTATTAAACCCTTTTCATCCATCGTTGGCATGCAAAGGTTGTCCATTCTGGCATACAGTAATGGCTCTAGTCGAGCAAGTAAACACATTCTGTGGGTTCCCGTCCTTGTCCAGTGACTGGGAAGGCGCGAAGGCGTAAAATACCCCAAGCACTCCTGTTACTACTTTATATACTCTGCATTCATTTTAGAATCCAATGTTAGAGCACACACTAAACTGCCATATTGTGGATTTTGGTAAGCCTTTCTCTACTCAATGACGTCAATCCGTATAAAGTCTTAGATACAATATTTGGTCACCCACATCTGAGCCTGCTATAACTTATCAATTACGCTTCTGTTCTTTGTGTGTTGGAGCCAATCAAGAGCCATAGAGCGAGACTACTCGCGAGTAAACGGGCGAGCTTACGTCTACAGTTGCGCGCTAATGGAAGGTGGCAACACAACGCATAAATGGTCACTGAGGCTAAAGTGCTTTTGCTCAAATACAAATTGTCAGGTAAGTGATTGAAAAAATGAATGGTCGATATCAAGTCATCTGTGTGCATATGAGAGTCTGTTTAATTTTTCTTGTTTGAGTTGGATGGTATTTAAAATTTTACAAACCGAAATCACACCGTTTCAAAATAATTACTTAGTAAACAAATAAAAATGGAGGTAATAGAACAACCTGTCATTTCAAACGTTATTTAAGATCAGCGAACACCTTCAGAAATCATTCAATAATTTTTTTTTGTGGAGCACAGGAGTCTCCACACGGAGAAAGCAGATCTACTGATACACTGACAACCAGAACCGTCATCCACCTTATCCTGCCTAATCACCCTTATTGTTTGATACGTGATTCCTGCCAAAGCTTATCTGTAATAAATTACTAATTTTCTTCATCGGCCACTAGAACTCTACAAGTGTGCCATTTAAAAGGGCTACCGTCCAAACACACAAAAAGATTGCTTTTAAATAATCAAGATAACAAAGCGGTATAACAGCAACAGAAAGTATTTCAATTATCATTAAATCCTGCATCTTCGATTAAATAAATATTCTTGAATAGTTGTTTATCTTCCATTAACGCCACCTCAACTTTCAGAGACAATTGATTGGATTACCTCGATGTGATCCAGTTTGCTAGCTTTCTTGAACTGCACTCTACAGGATATGTCGAATGCACTATAATAAACAAGAATAAATATATAAATCACAAGCTGCAACTGTTAATGCCAGTCACTGTCTATCTGAACCAACCAAGTTGGCTGTACCTTTCATTATGTACTGATCCTCATCCTACATTGTCTCTGGTTGGCTACAGTTATTCCTCACAGGTTGATCAAACGCACGGAGACAGACGATTGGCTGAGATTTTTCTGGTCAAAAATGTCTGCGCCCCTCTACGTCATTGCAGTAATTCGGGATTAATGGCTGCATCGGATTTCTATGGTGACGGTGATATCGTCGACGAAGAAGAGGATTTTAGGCCGCGTGGCAATAATTTAAAGCTGTGGGGTAATCAAGTGACTATGAACATAAATCCGATGATACATACAAATATTATTCAGTCGCCGTACTTCAAAACAAATTTGATTGAGCTCAAGACCTACCACGAAGTTATTGATGAAATATATTATAAGGTATCAAGTAAACTGATATTTATCTCAATTTTAAGGTTACTCACTTAGAACCTTGGGAACGTAACAGTCGTCGAATGGGAGGGCAGACCGGCATGTGCGGTGGTGTTCGTGGTGTTGGTGCAGGCGGCATTGTTTCGACTGCTTACTGTTTGTTGTTCAAACTCTTCACTTTGAAACTCACTCGGAAGCAGTTGAGAGGCTTGCTCGAACACCCAGACTCCCCATATATCCGTGCCTTAGGATTTATGTATATCAGGTAACTGCCCTCGTCCACTTAAGAGCGTCTTTATCTAGATATTGCTTGCCGCCTGAAGATCTTTGGATGTGGTTCGCACCATACCTCGACGACGAAGAGGTGCGTAAAGTTTGCCCCTTTTTATGGTGCAGCACTGGCCTCTGAGACGTCGCGAGTCCAGCTGTAACCAAACCATGCGTAAGAAGCCTACTTCACCCGAATTAATCGCGTTATAATGGAATACATAATTCTTGCTTATTATTCATCTTTACAGGAAATCGATGTTAGGGCTGGTGGTGGCTGCAGCATGACCATTGGGTCAATGTTGGAGCAGTGGCTCACGAAACTCGATTGGTTCTCTACCCTCTTTCCTAGGATACCCGTTCCAGTTCAGAAGAAAATTGAAGAGAAGCTCCGTATCCGTCGTCAGAAGCATGTACTTGAGGAGGTGTCCCGCCCACTAAAACACTCCGACCGGGAGGATCGTAGTGATTCAGAGGACCGACATCTCAAAGAAAGGAGAAGGTATATTTAGACACTCAAGCCCTTGTGTTGATTTCGTATAATTTAAGTGCTTCCTTTTTCAGACAAAGAGACCAAGATCACGGTCGCCCCAAAAGACGTTCTCGTTCTCGCTCCCATGGTCGTCACGGACACCGCCGGCGTCGATCAAGTTCTGGAAGTCGTGATCGTGGAAAACGGGAGACTTCCTTTGACAGGGATCTTCGGAAAGCACGTGAACGTCAAGAGAGGATACGGCGTTAGGCAACTCGTTTTGTGTATCACAGTGTCGTAACAGCTTAAAGCCATTAAATTTGTAAATTGCGTCCACAAATGCAAGGCTTCTTGCCCTGTCGAGATCTGAACATGAATTGTAAGAACAGCTATTAGATGATACAGGAAATAGAAACAAGGCTTATATGTTTGGCAATGTCCTGAGTGTAATGGGCAATGCCATTTCACTTTACCTCGATTGCTGGACATCTCTTTAATGTGGTCGACCTAACGTCTTATCGCCATGAAAACCTTCATCAGTTCTCACTTGGTTGATTAAAGCGGACGGTCGTCGACCAATTTGCCGTCCAGCATGTTCGCATTGTTTCCACCACAGCAGATTGAGTTGCTTTGTATGTGGGGTCTACCTGCCCCTTAGTTCTTTTTCCAATGAGGCCGTCTATTTAGTTTCCCAGTCATTCTTGAGGTAGTTATTGAAGGCACCTCAAGGTATTCGACTATTGACAGTTCTCTGGTACGCCTAGGCGTGATTTCTGCAACCCTTTTAACATCGCCCATGGATTTTTTCGTGTCGGACTTTCTGTCGTAGCAGCGTGTAAAGGTGACCCTTCGGAATATGGGCTGTTTGAATCACTAGGAACATACTAATATCGAATGGTAACTGACCAAGAGTTAACTCGTCTATAAATGGACCGAGCCATGGCTTGAGATGGATGAAGTTGTGGAGTGGGTACTGGATTTTCGTAGATAGGCAGTGTGGCATTGGTTATGGATGCCTTAGGCGTGATACCTCCCTTGGATGTAGCCCCCAAGTAAGATCAACGGGAGTAAGGTTGAACAAGCCAAAGGTAGAGTGCGCGGGGCGGGGAGGGTGTGCTTGAAGGTTTTTTGGACTTGAGGTTCCAGCTAGGGGGACGGCGTATTCTCGTGGTGGGAGTTGCACCCCAACAGACCAGGGATCGAGCAGCGGGCGATTGATGGTTATGACCCTGGATTCGAAAATCATGGCCAAATTAAGACATTTGTCTCTAGGGTGCGTAAAATACATGTGAGCAGTTGAGAAACTTTGAACGTTGTAAATTTTGACATCCAAGAGAATGAATCCTCTGTTGATAGTGTTTCCGATTTTCTTCAAGTTCCAGTAACTTGAAGACCAACACGCCCAGGATGACTTACGTCTTGAGGCACCGGTGAACTGTTAAGGATCTCATAGTCTTCGAGTTCTGACCTCTGCTACATTAATGGACCAAACAGCGCTGCTCAACCAAAACAACTTTATTAGTACTAAAGCGTACAGCCGCCTAACATGTGATATGGAGCATCCGCTCACACATTACAGGAAATACTCTGCCTCCAATGACTCATTTTTTGTACACTTTAGTCTGTATTGCACAAACAGACTTATCTACCCAAGTATGCTTTTGTGTCCGTGTCTATTTGATCACTAAAATCCCTTCCCAACTTATTCATTCTGATATGACTAAGATGCTGAGCTATGGCCTCACTATTTCAAAGAGCAATAGAATAAAACCAAGTCAGTAAGACAGTGAAATTAAAAAACAACGGGACCAACACCTTCCAGTCTAACAATTAACTTGCAGAGGATAAACAAATTGTTAGTGGCTTTAGAAAACATTTAGTAAATGGGGGTTTAGGAGCGCATTTACTTTCTTGAGTGGTCATCAGTATTTCTTCGTCCAAGGAGAAGGAGCAGTATGCCTGGCACAACTCAGTTAAGCGGTTGACGTCTCTGCCGCACAACTTTCAAGCATATCACGCACGACGATGTAAAGCTGTGGATACACACGTTGCTTGCGAGCCTCCACCTGTTCGGCATAGACATCCAATGACTTGCTTATGAAGGCGAGACGTGTTGGCTCATCCGCCACGGCCTGACACCAACGGACATATCGTTCTAATGTCCACCCAGATGCCGTCTCGTGGGGAAGAGGTATCTCGTTTGGAGACCGGGCAATAACATGATGCAAGGCCAAACTACCAGGAAGGGAGCTTCCAACGAAACCTACCGCCCCGCGAGCATCGGATTGAAACTCAATCGTTTTAGTTACCTAAATTGGAAACAACATCGTATTTCTAGCATAAAATATTGAAAAAAGGTGAACAGACTTAAGTTTGCCTCACCGACAAAATTTCATCGGTGGGGGTGGAGAATAGTTGTCGCAGGGCGCGCAGGCGAATAAAGGGGTCGTCGGTGAAGGTAGAAGGGGGTGCGAGAGCAGCAAGCGCCACTTCAATAGCCGCGTTACTAGTTGTCAGACGCGAGCGTTCCACATCACCAGTGCACGGACGAAACAAGCTAGAGTGTACGGCTAAAGCGTCAAGACAGCGAGGCAACACACGACTTTGAAGGCCAAAGCGAACAGCAGCTTCACCCGATGTGAACAACTGCACATTAGCAGACCGCAGGCAACAACTTGTCGTTGATGTCGACGTAGAGAATCCTGCCAGATACACGCTTCGAATTCGATTTACAAATATCTGGAATAAAATGTACCAAGGGAATGTATGTCCACAAATGAATATTGAAGTTTTTCAAGAGTACCTGCAAATCTTGCACATATGCAGGATCTTCCAAATTGTCTAGAGCTTCTTTGTGCATCCTAGGTAGTATTTGGTCAATTACATGGTCAGCGATGCCTGTCAGAAGAGGTTCCAACGCGGCCAAACATACTCCGGAGAGCTTGCTGGAGATTGCGTGATCAACGATTGCCTGGGCATCGTCTGCTCCTGCTTTCGCGTGCCCCCTTTTTTGCTGCTGATTGGTGGTATGTCTAGCAACAGCCATTCTTAGACGATCAACAAAGGCACACGTAAAATTCACAAGGTGGGAGTTCGTCTGTTGTGCAGGATTGAGAAGTCCATCAATTGATACTTGACTTGCTTCAGGACTCGTAACGATCAGTGCTTCTACCTTTGTTGCGAAAAGAGCCACCATTTTCGCTACATTGCGCGCGACCTACATGAACGGAATTCCAGCATGTAATTGCAAATGGCACATATGTCAACCGATTTAAGTTTATTTGGCTAACCTTACAAAAAAGTTCCGGGTGCACGGCGGCGGAATGAGCCAATTCTGTTGCAGCTGACTGTACTACTTGCTCGATATCTGTGATTCGGGGCAAGTTTCCACCAACGCTTTCAACTGGTGTAACACCGATAAAAGTGGAATTAACACGATCGAAAAGGCGAGTCAGACAACGCGCAAGATAGGCTGTCTCAAAAGGAGCCAAAAAACGTTCAATTGGCCGCGATAAGTGCCGCTGATGACCGCTGAGATTGAGAAACAATTTAAGCATCCGTGGGTAATCACTTTCAAGGACATCTTTCAACTGACCTGAACGCCGTCTCAAGGCAGGTTCAAAGACGGCGCTCATACAAGTAGCGACCCACCCGAGAAGGCCATTATAGTACGACTCAGAAAAATAATGAGCGTGCCTTACCTTTAAATCTGCCAGTTTGGTCTTGACTAAAATATTAAATCAATAGAATGTAGATGATAACATGGTAAAACCGCATACTTCGAGATTTGAACAAACCTGAATCTCCATCGCTATTTAGTTCCTCCGTGGAAAGAACAAAGATAATGGCAGAACAGCAGTCTTTTTCCTGGGGATCGTCAGCCTTTTCCATTAAGAAAGAACAAAGACGACTGGCAAGGGTAGCAGAACTAGATGGGATTCCAGTTGAAGGACGTTTTTTTTGCAAGGTGACGCACAACAGGCGCGATTGTGTTAAACGTCGTTCAATCAGATTTACCATTTGATCTAATCTGGTCCAAAGAAGATTTCGAAATGCAGCTACTTGTCCGCCATTGCTGGGCAAAGAGGCCTTCCCTTAATTAATTGAAAGAACGAATAAAACATCATGTAATTAATTGTAAAATAGTATGAATTCAGGATTCTCTACCAGGTGTTGTTGAAGTAAGTGCTGAGATGACTTTGCCTTTTGCCTTTTTATTGATGTCTTCAATGTCAACGGCAGATTTCACTGCGCCTTCAATCTCGGCTTGCCAGTCAGAAACAAGAGCTTGGATGATCTTCGGTAAGACAGACAGTTTTTCGAAAGCCTAGAATCGAAGAGACAGGTATTAAATAGAATAATTTCAGTTTTACCTGCAAGCCAACACCCAAACGGCTCTGCTCACAGGCATCGAGTGAAGACTGAACAAGTTCCCAAACCTGTTTAGCAACCCTGTCTTTTTCCTTTTCAAGATTTTCATAGTACTCTTCTAGGATGTCTATGCCTTTCCAATCCACTGTAGAAAATGCATAATCTAACTCCTCTATGCATTCAGAAGCCAGAACCAGGTTATCAGAAGACTCTGAAGATGAATAATAATAACAACAAAGGGACAAACCAAAAAGCTTCTTTGAAGTAGAGGATATTCGATGGATATTTCGTAGGGTGTCATATATATGACCGAGACGACGAATTTGTGTGACCTGACTAAGTAGATGTTCATACTGCTTAGTCAGTCTTTGTTTGATCATTTTGACATTGCTGGAAACACCGAGGATACGCGATTCTACACTTTCAACAATATTCGAAAAGTTTTCTAGCTCGACGGCCTGGCTGAGTAAATCGCTGTTGTTTTTTGATACATGCTGGTAGATCGATGCGTCTAGTCTGCAAAAAGACAATTATTGTAATTACACAAAAAAATTGGACCATGCTAAGGAAACTTAGAATCTCGGCGGGTTTTTAAAAAAATTGACAGATACATAATGAGGCATGTTATGAGAAAATTCGGAACCGAACTGATGACCTATATCGTATTCGATGACGCTAACTTGCTACGTTTACTGTACATACACAAAGTAGGATTTAGTTTGAAATATTGGCTTGATTAAGCCGACTGTTATGTTCTTACTCAGAAAGTTTCTCAGAAACTGTTTTGAGGGCTTCAACCAAATTATTGGCTTCAAACGCCTTTGACACGAACACATTTTCATCGAAGTTACCCTCCAATAGACTTGATAAGTAGACTCCACTCATCTACGCCCACCAAATCTCGACTATGATCTAAGCGGTTAGTTGGCCAACTGACATAAACACGCTGATTTCATGTTTTGAATGACGCAGAGATCACAGACGAGGAGACAGTTAAAAAATCAAGACTATTCAGCTTATTACTAATTATGAATTCTACAGACTTTAACTGACAGAAGTTAAGATCAAGCTCAGTGGAAAATTTTATTCTGGCTAATGCAGCGTTTTTTCTTAAATGTTAGGATTTAACAAGGAAATTTGAGTTACGTAACCAATTCCATACTTGAAGCAATTGTTTAATATCCTATGCTTAATTGAGGCAAAAAATTTTCAATCTAAATATCAAAACCCGATTGTCACTTAGGTAAGCTGTCAATTCCTTTGACAAAGCTATTAAAAGCAATCCATATTTATTCTAATAAAATTTAAAAATGACGTGCCTTATCCTTAAAATCTTCTGGATTCCAGGGAATAGATTTATTTTCTGCTACCTTTGTACAGAAGAGCACTGGGGATATCATAGTAGTATTTAATTACATTGAACCTAAATATACATTATCGGCACCATTATTATTCATTTCATTTAACCGAAGAGTAGTCACGTGCACCTCTGCTCTGTCAATTGTGATACATATATCAAATTATTTGAATTAGTTTTTCCTACCCGAAATAACACCAGAGTCAGCAAAAGATGATATACATGCTGCATTTCTGTATATCTGCTTTCTGAATATCTTAATTTTTCACGCAATAATCATGTGCATACGCAAGAACCTAAAAGTATATTAGAAAACAAATTCAGTTGTAATCCCCACTTTAGGCATATGTTTGCTTTTCATTACAAGAAATATCGGCTACTTGTATTGTGTTCAAACGAGATATAAAGTTATAGATAGCAAATAACTTACTCGCTTTTCCTATGTTCTTTGTAGGTTTAAAATTCACAAAAATGTTTTTATTTTTTGGTTTCAAATGAGTTTTGAGGTAAAATTTCTAGTGAAGGATTGCTCACAACATCCATAGTGGTCGTAAAGTATAATCTGGTTCACCCAAGATTTCGATCCTACTGATCAGCTAAATTCGGGACAAGAATTGTTTTACTTCGTTGACTTCAATAAAACATTGCGAGACGCTTATAGTATACTTTAAATCACTACCGGACTCCGAGGCAAAAGGTGTCTATTTAAAGCAGGACATTTTACCTGTCACCAAATTGTGCTTCAACCCTTCTGGAAGCTGCAAATAATGTGTTCTAGCTCCACTGATTGGTGAATTTAATGACTACTGATGCACATGGCCACCATTAATTTTTCGTGACCTTGATCGTACCAAACACAACCACACATACACTCATGAGAATCTTAAATATATAGGAGTCAATTAATGGGTAAGGAAAAGCACAAAGACAAATTGTCCGGCGTATGTCCGTTCATAGTAGTTGCCACTAAAAAGTCCTTGTTGACAAGCCACTATGGGCATTAGCAGTCACTGACTTTAATTGATGAGGCATGTAGGTCACAAAAATAACCCTTCGAATCAGAAATCCACAGGTATCATAGACAGACGTATAAACAACAATTTAATTGTTCGGTAATACAGTAATCTCAATGCGTTTAGTGGCTGTACATATTAATACTCAAATATAGATTAATTTCATGGTTTGTCCTTTAACAGCTAACAAATGTCTTTTATCTTAACTTCTAAGTTAGTTTCGAGTAGTTACAGCTGCAAAAAGATGATCATTTTTTAAGTTCTGTTAGTGCGAATAAGCTGCCCAGACTCCCTAAGAGGTATGTGACGTGCAGGCAAACTTTCTGAATAGCTCATCGAATTTAATGTGGACCAAATCAAAGTATGGTCGTTTGATTGCTGAACTGCTAATTACAATTTTTTAGCTAAAACACTCAAAAGCTCAATATTTAGGTCCAGTATGAATTAGAAGAAGTTGTCTCTGAGGAACGGTCACTCTGCGAAACTGGATGGATTACAAAGGTGCTGTGTACCTTGAGATAATTCAATGGAACCAAGCCAACTATTCTTATGACTACTTTGCACTGCTAATCGAACTAGACTAGGATACACCTATGGAACAAAGGTCAGAATTGTATATTCTAAAAGCAATTATGTTTCATCGCAACAATGCCAAGCCCACATCTTTGGCAAAGTCGTTCAAATGTAATGGAACATGGTTGAGAGGTGATGGCACGTGCCTAAACATAGCCCTGATGTTGTTTCTTCACATAGACTTTGGTTCGAATTTCGAAAATCTCTGTCATGGCATGCCATCTCACAGAATTATGATCTACTCTCCAGCTCTTGATAGGAGCCAATCGCTGCTTTACTCTTTGTCTGTCTTGTGGACGAATCCATGCTTATGATTGCATCTTGAGCTCACGAGTTCTATGACTTGTGATCAAACTGAAGATGACTGGCACTTTGTTCACTAATCAGTCTTGGAACATTTATGTACCTTAATCGGCCCACGTCAAATTCGAAGACCGATAGTTTTTCTGTTGATATTATTTTGATGCTTACTGGGTCTAACTCTGTGACTGACGCGTAGAATGAGTAAAGTTTCTGCAGTCAATCGATCTTTGCTAGCCCTGGCAGGTTGGGTAAGCGATTATGTTAAAATTTAGTTTAGAGTGGGGATTAGCTCAATGACGAAAAGTCGCTATGTCCCAAGGAACAGGTTGCATCATCCATCGAGTGAAAAAGGCAAAATCCTTCTGAGGTAATACTGGCATAAATGAAAAAAGGTTGACCTAAATGCATGATGTAATGATGACTTAACTTAATGTACCTTTCAATATTCATATCTACCGGACAAAGAAAATAACATTTTTTTTTCATAAAAATATATCAAAAGCATCGAGCCATTGCTACTAAAACACGCTACCTACAAATGTTTAGCAGCATGGTATTTGTTGTTAAAAGGAAATTTACTGCTGAAGCTAATGTTTCTTGAGTATCCTGTCTGCCTGTTTACAATGGAACTGATTGCGCTCCTGCCAATCACTTCACGTAAATCAATCAGAATTCTCGGACGTGGTATATTCCACTGCAAAACATGGCTATAAATTAAATGCTCTGCGTTCGACAGAAATGACCAGCGTGTGCACCTACAAGTGCCGTTAATGGAATGTGACGATATTTTGTTGCCTGAAATGCTTAGTGAACACGCACACCTTTAGTGAATGTGTTGGTAGTCTGCAAAGCAAAACTATGGCATCATCACCGTCACTTTAGTGATCCTGAGACAGCTAGAAGATCGCTTTAAAGGGAATCATAGAACGGATTGCTGAAGAGTCCAGCATGCCAGAGTTAAGCGAGGTACTCACAGAAACATATCAGTTTAATAAACTAGAAATTATTGATTGATTTCTTGACTAGGCATTAAATTGACTTTCTAACAAGTGACTATGTCCTACTCTAAACTAGGTAAAAGGAAATGCACCAATTTCATAAAAACTGATTTTCGTATTTTACTCACTGATTTGCGCTATCCCATTTGGTTAATTGTTTCAGCAAACGTGGCAATCAATTCTCTGTACTTCGGTAATGACCAATGAATTCGAATGTAATAAAATGAGACAAGTCGTATAGAGTCCAACCAATTAACAGCAAAGAGATATTTTTCGAGATGAGAACCTCTCTCCTCTATCCTAGTTTCTCGCCCAATATTCCCAAAGCTAGGGCAATTTTCGGCTAGAAGTGCTGGCGCCTATGAACCAGCCATGGTTTCGCTAAATTAGTTTCTTAGTTTCTTTTTGCAAGGAAGATAAATGTAAATACTAATCCAAGCTATCGGCAGAGACACAACGACCACAATGGTTGAAGAGACTCGTTTAACTGAGGTACAAATGAAACAATGTAAAGCCCGCAACCATGGGTTTTCGATCTACAAATAGGCAATATCTTGCAGACACGACCACGGGAACATTGTTAACGGGATATCAAGCTTCGAAATTACTTGATAAAATTGTATTTGCTACAAGTTAGCACTGAAACAATTGCTTGTTAATACAACTTTTCCGTTCGACTTCAACCAGTCAAGCATTGAGTCTTTTAACTTGAAAGAGAATATTCAGAACCTTTAACTACTGATGGAGGTTATTTTAATCATAACGCAAAGACAATCCGCTCTGGTTGCATAATCGTCTGACCTCAAATCTGTAAATGAATCTATATCTGGAGGCACCTACCAGAGTATTTATCCCTACGTCGTAGGTTATAAGAACTGCGATTCTCAGTCTAGTATTACTAGCCATCATTCCGCCATATTTCTAAAACACTGAAATTGCAGAAACAACATTTTTAGACCAAACAAATGCCGTTTTTCTACTAAAGAGGGTATTCTTAAATGCAGGTTCGCATTTTTTTACAAAAATTATTCTAAAGGTCACTTGAATCTGAAAATAATAACAGGATTTGAAAATATGTTACGCCAATAAATATAAACAAAATTGACATCTGCAACTTTAATTGGGATCTACTTACTGGCATCAGTAACATAATGGATTTGACTTGTGTTTAGCTGGTTATTGAGCCGCCTGTTGACAAAGAACAACTGCCAATAAGTGACACCTTGCTTGAATTTGAAAGCGAGTTTAAACATTAGTAACGCTTTTCTGGACATTTTTAAAAAGTCAATTTCAGAGGTTGGAAGTACATAGTGGTAGTTTTATATTATTTAGACGACAAAGTAGACGGGTTTAACTGGTTTTCGCCATTTTTCTATTCTCATTCATTCTACCCGAATAACAGGCAGACAATGGAGTCAAGCGGACTTAAAATTAAACTATTATAGCACATCATGGTGATGTAAGCCTATCAATTCCATCTCCAAATACTCCGACACACTGCCCCTATCAGGCATGAGGAGCCTTGTTCATGCACCTTCCCCACTACCTGTTTCACTCATCTGACCATCCAGTTATTTGTACTTCTACTAGTTCACACAAACTGAATCGATCAGGAACTTCGCTAATCGTACACGACCCTGAATGCATCCACATGATGGCAACACCTCTGGGCTGAGACGTCCAATAAACGTTTGTGCCTTCTCTACCTCCAGTCTTCTTAGTCTTTTGGATGTCTGAAAAGCGTACACAAGGAGGAAAGCGTGGTAACCACGATGCGTTTCATGTTGAAGCCATCGACAGTATGTTTCCTAAGATGCATGTAATCATGCCTCTCCATCCATATAGCGAAGCATATAATGCTGTTGGCTGAGCCAATTTTTTATGTTAAGCAGACAGCTGCAAGTCTGAAATGGCTGCTGCAAATGGGACTAGTATTTCGGCTTCCAAAACAGCAATCTCGTAAGTTCAATTTAGGCGTCAGAATGTTTTCCAAGTTATGTATCAAAAATGATCAGAAAAAGGCAAACCTTGACTTTTATTGGTTGAAAAAGATTAATGATATTATTATCCTCTTGCTGAATACCTAGACACATTTGTTTATTCGATGGAGACACAAATTTTATTTGAATCCTTGATGATGTAATATATGCTTTTACGACGTAGGCTTCAAGGAATCCACTTCAGTATATATCTGATGGAATATTAATCTTGGAGAAATAATATGAATCGCCTGGTCATCGTTGACCTGACCAAAGCTTAAACCAGGGATTCGCCTCAGTAAATCGAATATCGCTTAGAGTTAGTGGGACAATTATTTAATTCGACAACGAATACTAGGCTTCGCCAAAGCACAAAACCCTTGATATCTTTGAAAGTTAGCATCTGGTGGATGACTAATTTGAAGTGCGTTGGCCTCCCGATGAGCGACCGCATTTAGCAATATATTCAAGTCCAGGAGTCCGTTGAATATGCTAAATTACCCAGGTTTACAAGTGTTCATCACAATCATTCCAGTTTAATCACAGTGGATTGCTCGCTTTACAGTTGTTGCACGGTCCCACCACCCGAGTCCTAACTCCAGCAGGTCTCCACTTATGAAGAAGACGAAATACTTAAGGAGGTTTTTATTCATGCTAAGTGACATCGATGTTTGCAAATCCGTCTACACGATTCGTTGGGATACTGGAGGTGAAGCTTCTAACGGCAAAACAACAGTAAATCCTTTGTAGTGGATTAGCACAACTAAGTAGCGACACGCATTTGCAACCAGTTGTGTATTTTATCAACAAAATTTGTTCATGTGGGGTACGGGATTTTAACGACATCAAGTCTAAGCGGTCAAGATTAGTGACTGGCCCAGTGCAGTTATAAACTACCTGCACAAAAGTTGGACACACAGAGAGTACGCAAATTTTCAAAGCGATGTTAGAGTAAATACAATTGGAGCATTTATTTCAGGGCACTGTTTATTTAAGGCTGCATTTTTCAGTTTTTTTTACTGTAATGGGCTTCTTCTTGTTCTGTTACATTTGTGTCACTGGTAAAGAGTGAATATAAAGTGTTGCTTCCATATCGGATTCGAGTCTCTCGCTAATCAAGTACTATAAGTGAGAGGATAAGCCCATCTGACGACAAACGTGTGCCCAAGTAATTTTACGGTGAGCCTCATTGTGTCACGTCAAATGGCTTTCTTTTAATAACATAGACCACCAACAGTCATGGTTATTTTTCAAAACAGCTTGAGTTGAGGGGTCATTTTGTTTCTTGGGGTCTTAAACCTGGTTGACTGATTAGGACGGGTCGAGGCTTAATTACTAGATCACTGTAAAACGGTTGTTGATGTTTAGACTTAGCTGCGATCACACTTTCCAAATAAACCTCCACGCCTGGTGTGGTGGAACTAAATCTAATTAAGGGTTAAATTGGACGATATTGTTAAAATTTTCTTGGAACATCATATTGTCATTCATTATCCTGACGATGGAGAAAAATCACAGCATGGTCACAGTTTTCACAAAATGACTCCATTACAGCCACCAAACCGGTTCATCTGCAACCATTTCGCTGCCTTGAATGCAGCATACGCCTGCTTTCATTAGCGCTGTTATTACCCAGGTCCTTTTTCATGACTTCACGTTGGTTTCTTCTAGGCGTTGAGTTGTAAGCTTAAAAATTTACCTCCATTGTTGAGGCCAAAGGACAATTTCCTAATGACAGACGAGCAAAATTAAAACAGGTATTTCATTTGTCACGATTTTTTTACTAGGGACGGGAGCCATTTGACTCAACCAAACTAACAATAAATGCCATTTTAAATGTTCAAAACTAGTAGTGATAAAAACAGCTTAATGACTTCTACTTTTAACGCGCACAAGTCACACACTTTGCCTGCATTTACCGAGAACCATTTTTCCGCATTCCATCAACCGTCTCAATTTGAGTGATCACATAAGTCGCCCCAAACAGCATTTAACCAGAGGACGATATACAAGCTCGTTTTTACTTGAGACAGCATTACGTGTTCAAGGTGGGCCGTGCCTTTGGTTGAACAAGGTTGGCTCGAACTAGCTCTGCGACCGGCGAAATTACCGACTGGGCTGCTCCAAGTCTAAGGCACCTTCCCGCGTCAGCAATTTAGCACATTAGACCATGGCGCGAAAATGGGGATCATTACACTACGCAGCGCGGTGGGATTTGAGGGCACCCCGCTCCCCACACATGACCTGGCACCGTTCAACCCAACCGACATCGTAGGTTTTGGTGTTCCACATTCTGATTTGGTTCCCTGTTAAAGCCAATACTGCTCCCTGACTCACAGTGTCCCTTTGTCCCGTCGAAAACCACATCCTGGCAGCCAACTCACAAAAACGAAGGTTTCACACAGGTCACCGCGGTGACACTGACTCGATCCCATACTCTTTAATTAGTAAACCACTAAGATCAACGGATAACTTACATCTGCCCTAAATCGCTAACGAGAACACGAGGCCTGGTCAAAATCTTTACTCAACAAAAGCTGGCCACAACCCGTGAAATAATACAAGTACTCGTTCTGCGAACCATTAAGAGTGTCTGAACGCAGTCCAAGAAGTGAGACACGACGTGATGGAGGCGGGGAAACGGCGTGCATTGCGACGCCGCTCACGGGTACATGACAATAGTGGCTGCAAGAAACTATCATTTTTACAAGCTACTCAGAAGACGAGGCGACAAAATACGTATGAACACAATAAATACATTTGCAGAGGGGGGAAGTGCACGGGCTCTCTGGTGGGGGGAGAAAATGTAATAAAACTTCAAAAAATCGGGCAACCCATGTGCTGTAGA